AAAGAACATCGTCGCTGAACTGGGAATTGCCCAACGGAACGACTCACGCGGAGATCGACCACATTCTTACCAACCGAAGGTGGAGCTTGCTTGATGTCTCAGTTGTTCCATCCTTCTGCAGTGGCTCTGATCACCGTCTTCTGCGAGCGAAGATACGATTCAGTCAAAAGCTGGAAAAGAAGATCTGCCACAGCGCCGCAAGAAGGAAAGAAGTCGTTTATGACGGTAACAGGTTGGAAGAGCTTATCAAGTTGTGACTGGCCCATCGAGGAGGAACCCAACGTACGACTACGACCGGCTTCTGAAAGGATTGCGAGCTTGCGGAGAGTGCGCCTCAGTGACTTCTGAGCAAAACTTGGAACGCATTTCGAAGACCCCAGGGAATTGCCCGAAAGAAGAAGATTTCTGAGGCAGGATCCGAATGCAACCTATCTCGAGCGACTGATAGCCAACACCAGTTGCAGAACATCTTTGCAAGAGGATCTCAGGAAGTACAGGCAAGCTAAGATACTGGAAGCAGCCGAAGGAAGCTGAAGTCTCAAGAAGTGCCGAAGGGACCTTCGTGAATATCACGTACCGCTGGCTGCACTATCGAACGAAGACGGGACACCGACTTCTTCCCGATACAAGATGGAATCTATCGCGAAGAACTTCTACACCAACCTCTTCCACTCATCAACAGCCGTACCGATGCCCCTTGTTCCCATGGAGAAGTACCACCACGAATTCTACCTGCTGAAGTGCCAATTCGATTCAGACCATGAAGACTTCCACGGCTCCAGGACCAGATCACCTTTCCGTCGAGCTTCTGCGAGCCGGAGGACACCGTCTACACGAGGTTCTAGCGTTGAATTTGAAATCTTACCTTCAGAAGGAGAAGATTCCCGACCAATGGAGAACATCAAGAACAGTCCTTTTCTTCAAGAAGGGCGAACGGGAGGATCTTCGGAACTTACTTACTTAGATACTTAGATGGCCCGGCTTCACGTGACGTGCGGGCCCCAGCTCAGAAGTTTCCATTTTTCCCTGTCCCTCGCTTCTGACATCCACGATCTTCTTGGCTGACGTCGGTGGCTGCGTCCACGAGTTCCAGGTGCAAAAATCGTATCCAGCTGATTTCTCAGCTGGTCCATCCGTTCCACGAACACGTCTGCCCATCTCGTTGGAGGTCTTCCTCGGGGACGTTTGGCTTCGCGAGGAATCCACTCCGATGTTCTTAGTGTCCATCTGTCGTCTGTTCTTCTCATTATGTGACCGGCCCATCGGTGTTTGGCTTTCGCGACGTATTCCGCTGGGTCACGAAGACGGGACATTCTTCTCATATCCGTGCTGCGAAGTCCGACTAGATGTTGCTTGCGTCGGGTCATCTTCAGAAGACTGCGCTCGAGCGCTCTGTGGGTGGTCCGTAGAGCTTTCGACGTGGCTACAGTGTCGGCCCAAGTCTCAGCTGCGTAACAGAGCGCCGGGAGAACGGTTGAGTCGAACAGGTGGGCACGAAGCTCCGGGTCCGTCAGTTGGTCGGTGGCTTCCTTCAGGGGCCCGAAGGCGGCCCAGGCTGCTCTTCTTCTCCTGTTGAGTTCTTCCCTCAAGTCGTTCTCCATGTTCATCGAACGTCCGAGATACACGTAGGAAGACGTTTCCATAATCGGGGTGCCTTCCAATTCCATTTCTGCATCTTCGCAAAGGGCGTTCTTCATGAACTGAGTCTTCTTCCGATTTATTCGCAGTCCGATCTTCTTCCCTACTTCGTTTAGTTCCTTCAGCATCGTCTCTGCTTCGGTGATACTGCTCGAGAAGAGAACGATGTCGTCCGCAAAACGAAGGTTGGACAGGAATCTCCCATCAACTCGTATGCCTCTCTCGTCCCAGTCCAGTGACTTCATCACCCACTGCAAGGCCGCGGTGAACAGCTTCGGCGAGATTGTGTCGCCTTGTCGGACCCCCTTCCCGATTGGTATGGTCAGGGGGCGATGGAATAGCTGCATCGTCGTTGTACAGTCCTTGTAGCAGTCGGTTAACGTCCTCACGTAAGCTGGGTCCACTCCTTGATCGACTAGCGCAGACAGGATGGCGTTGGTTTCGACGCTGTCGAAGGCTTTCTCGTAGTCGACAAAGGTTAGGACGAGAGGCAGTCGGTACTCCCGGCAGACTTCTATGACTCTCGAAACGGTCTGGATGTGGTCCATGCAGCTGAATCCTTTGCGAAATCCAGCTTGTTCTTGGGGTTGGGCTTCATCCAGTGTCCTTGATATGCGAGCGAGGATAATCTTCGTGAAAAGCTTGTACAGCACACTCAGCAAGCATATTGGACGATAGTTCCGAAGATCCTCCCGTTCACCCTTCTTGAAGAGAAGGACGGTTCTTGACGTTCTCCACTGGTCGGGAATCTTCTCCTTCTGAAGGTAAGATGTCAAATGCGACGCTAGAATCTCGTGTAGACGGTGTCCTCCGGCTCGCAGAAGTTCGACGGAAAGATGATCTGGTCCTGGAGCCGTGGACGTCTTCATGGTCTGTATCGCGATACGCACTTCAGCAGGTAGAATTCGTGGTGGTACTTCTCCAGTGGGAACAACGGGCATCTGAACGGGTGTTGATGAGCGGAAGAGGTTGGTGTAGAAGTTCTTCGCGATAGATTCCATCTTGTATCGGGAAGAAGTCGGAGTCCCGTCTTCGTTCAGTAGTGCAGCCAGCGGTACGTGATATTCGCAGAGGTCCCTTCGGCACTTCTTGAGACTTCGTCTTCTTTCTGCTGCTTCCAGTATCTTGGCTTGCCTGTACTTCCTGAGATCCTCTTGCAAAGCTGTTCTGCAACTGGTGTTGGCAATCAGTCGCTCGAAATGAGTTGCATTCGGATCCTGCCTCAATGATCTTCTTCTTTCGAGCAATTCCTTGGTGGTCTTCGAGATGCGGTCCAAGTTCTTCTCAGAAGTCACTGAGGCGCATTCTCCGCAGGCTCGCAATCCTTTCAGAAGCCGGTCGTAGTCGTACGTTGGGTCCTGCTCGATGGGCCAGTCACAACTTGATATGAGCTCTTCCAGCCTGTTACCGTCATAAACGACTTCCTTCCTTCTCGCGGCACTATGACAGACTTTCTTTTCCAGCCTTCGGCTGAGTCGTATCTTCGCTCGAAGGAGGCGGTGATCGGAGCCACTACAGAAGGATGGAACTACAGAGACATCGAGTAAGCTCCACCTTCGGCTGGTGAGAATGTGGTCGATCTCCGCGTGGGTCGTTCCGTTGGGCGATTCCCATGTCCACCGGCGATGTTCCTTCTTCATAAAGATGGAATTTCCATGGAAAAGTCGTGCGGCGGAGAGAAGCCCAACAAGACGGTTGCCGTTTTCGTTCCGGAGCCCATATCCAAACTTCCCGATCCTATATTCCCTTTCCAGTGGCATCCCGATTTTCGCGTTGAAGTCGCCCACAACAAACTTGTAAAAGGACTTCTCGTTGCGGACGACCTCCTCCACATCTTCGTAGAAAGCATCTAGTTCTGATTCGTCAGCTGCTGATGTTGGAGAATAGCAGTTGATGATGCTGATGGTCTTCTGATGTGGAGGTCGTAGTCGTAGGATGCCTAGTCGAGGTGATAGGATCTCGTGCGAATCGACAAGATGGACGATAGATGGGTGGACGACAAAGCCGACGCCTCCCACGTTTCGTGATGGAACCTTTTCACCACGAATGATGAGGGTCCCATCACTCATCTGTCGCACGTCCTTCTTCCTGGACTTCGTTTCCTGCAGAGCAATGATGTGGTAGTTGATGTGCTCTGCAGCGTCGAGAAGAGCGTGGAGGTCGGCGTTTGTGGAGACTGTCCTGGCGTTGTAAGTGCAGAGCATGAGGCAGTCTCCATGGCGTGTCGTCCGGGCAGACGTGTCGTTTTTGTCCAATCCGAAAGGCGCCCTGAGTACCCTGACATCGTTCTTGCTACCACCCGGCGCCGTAGGCGGGATCCGATGTACAGGGTTTTTTCTAAATCTTCTTGCTGTCTGAGTAATAAAATTTGTTCCCCTACAAGAGGTGGCTTACTAGGCCTACTCTTGATTTCCACGGGGTGATCGCTGACCCCGGGCTTGGAGCGGGGAGGGACCGCCTAGCGACCAGAAGAAGCCAGACGGCGGAGAATCTGGCGCGGCCAGTTCTTAGCTAGGCATCCGGCCGAAACCGGAAACGTCGAACTCCTTCACAGCTTGGGAGGCCCTACCAGAGTATACACTCGGCTGTGCATCGCAGTTCGACACCCAGTGTCACCCCCACGCCACGATGAGGCGACCGACCATTGTGGGGGATCTTCGGAACTACCGTCCAATATGCCTGCTGAGTGTGCTCTACAATCTTTTCACGAAGAATACTCTCGCTCGCATATCTAGGACACTGGATGAAGCCCAACCCCAAGAACAAGCTGGGTTCCGCAAGGGATTCAATGGACCACATCCAGACCGGTTTCGAGGGTCATAGAAGTCTCCCAGGAATACCGACTGCCTCTCGTCCTAACCTTCGTCGACTATGAGAAAGCCTTCGACAGCGTCGAAACGAATGCCAATCTGTCAGCCCTAGTCGACCAAAGAGTGGACCCAGCTTACGTGAGGACACTAGATGACTGCTATAAGGACTGTACAACAACGACGCAGCTATTCCTTTGTTTCCCAACCGTTCCAATTGGGAATGGGGTTCGACAAGGTGACACTCCCAGGTGTGATATAGTACCATGCGTCACCTTTGGTTTTGGCACGATTAACACATCCACGAGCTTCCCGATAGATACACTTCAGACCAGGTGACCAGTTTATTTTACGCAAACTCGATTTTGCGAAATATGCTATGGTCCGAAATGGCATTCATCGAAAAATCAGCCTTGTCGCGGTTGAAGGACAGTCCTTAAAGGCACGAAATTCTCATTTCCTTGTTCTCTTGCATTATGAAGATGAGGAACGCTTGTTTTCGCGCGATGTACGTGGGAATATGGGACATTTCCGTGAGTGCACATGCCGCAAGATATTTAACGCCCCTCTTATTGATGCTGCATAAGCACACCAACATCCATGTGCTTCAAAATCTTTTCTCAAGGAGCGGCGACGTCTGATCGTACCATAGATACTCAGATTTCTTTGGAAATTATTCGCGATTGTGGGATTCGATTGCTTGGACGATGGGGGAAAATTTAGTCTTCTCAGGTTGGTGATAGCGAAGTTTTAGCATACTTTCATGAGCATTATAGAATATGCATTCCACCCCTCAATTATGAATTTTTTCTAATCTCTCTAATTGATTGTTATCGATGGACTACACACTTCCGGCCATGTGATTTGCTTTTGTGAATAGTTATGTCACCAAGTACCCTGCATTTCGCTGGGCGCCTGGTGATTGCTTTGGCTTTGAACATGTGCAAATCCGTAGACGTAAATTTAGAAGGGTTGTAGAATGATTCAGTTGTGATAGCATATAAGAAATCACAGGTCTTCCTGGTGATCATTTTCAATATATTTCCATCTAAGTTAGTAAATTTGCTACATTCACAATCTAGAAATGCGCAAATTTGTTACTTTCAGTTCGTGGAAACACTGGATTTTCGTTGAAACGTGGCCTTGGGAATGATTCAGTTACCCTGTTTGAGGACAACCAGTTAGCTTTTTTATAGCAGTTCATCCATTCTAGTTCTACATCTTGTCGAATTCAGGACGCCAAAGGAAAATCCTTGTTCTGTTTTCCAGTATAGTAACGATGGCCGTATATTCGCCTATTGCGACACTAAAAAGTAGTGGTCATTCAGTGCTAGCGCAGTTTACTTGTTGGAAGTTGTTTTTTCAGAACGAGGGCGTTTCAAGTTGCGGATGGTAAAGATTTGATCAACCTTGATTTGAAAAGGACTAAACATATACTGTTTTCACCGCGTGATACACACATGATCACGTTTGAACCATATGCTATCTATGGGCAGAAGGTAAAGAAATTGGTTGAGCTTTTCAAAGTATCTACACTTTCTTTCAGGCCTCAGCAGATCAAAAACCTGACCCAAATATGAGGATTTATAACCTTACTGAGGGAAAGCATGTGACAACGATGATTGCAACGAGAGAGGTGGTTCTTGTAGTATTTGTTGCTCATATGCCCTTGAGCTTTCTCACATTTTTACGAGTAGGTTTTTGTTGCATCGATAATAGAATAAGTAATAGAATGATAATTTTGATGCAGCACAACACGGATAGAAAATATCTGAGCTTCGACGCTAAGAAGGTAGCTTTACCATTCAGTTTATTAACGAGCAGATGCTTAGAAGTGTGGGAACAACGAAAATTGTGACCCAGGGTGAGATTCTCGTCACTTTTGAGACCAGGATGACTGATAGGTTCTCGTCCGACTCAGACAATCGAAGGGATACCTCCGGCGGACAAATGGCGCGAGTCTGCCACTTCGCGCTCTGGAGCGCTTCGGAGCCCTGCCATTTCACCCATTTTGGTGCTCCGGGGCTCTCCCAAATCTGGCGCACCTCCGGAGCAGAGATTTCTGCGTCCCGGAGAGGGGTCCCACTCGTTCACCGTGACGTCACGGTGACGTCACAAGCAGGCGAATGGGACCCCTCTCCGGGAGCGCAAATCTCTGCTCCGGAGGTGCGCCAGATTTGGGAGAGCCCCGGAGCACCAAAATGGATGAAATGGCAGCGCTCCGAAGCGCGAAGTGGCAGACTCGCGCCATTTGCCCGCCAGAGGTATCCCTTCGACTGTCTGAGGACAAGCTCACTCTTCCACTCTTTTCCCTGATTGCGGGTAAAAAGTTTGAGAAAAGCATCAAAAAAACATTTATTGCGTTTCTCAGTCCTTAACCGGACGGTAACTAAACGGCTCATAAAATACTTGCCTTACCTGACAAGGGAATGGTCAAATATCGAAGTGGCTAAATCCAGACAAGCTGCATACCGTTAGATGCAGCATGAAGCGCTGACTCTAAATCTGTCTTCTTTATCTGCTTATCGCTTTTCTGGACGAAGCTATAAGCTATTAAAAACCAATATTTTGCTAAGAAATTATGCGTAAAAATGAAAATTTGGCCATACAGAGCCATGTGTCGGCTTGATGCTGGGCTAAAACATGCAGCTAACTTACTTCAAACTTTAAAGCCTAAAGCTGAGCTGAAATTGCAGCAATGTGCTCAATTTCGCAGTTTTCATGTACGATTTTTCCATAATAAAACTGCTTGTAGCTTCCTCCACAGGAGCCGAAGCAGATAAGGAAGACAGATTCGAAGTCAGCGTTTCATACTGCATCGAATGGTATACAGCTTGTTTGGTTTGGCCACTTCGAATTCTGACCATTCCTTGTGAGTGCTTCCTTAGTACGCAGGGTCGAACTATGATCAGCAGGGTCATGCATGAGATCAAGTACATGTCCAAGCGGTTCTTCCCGCCCTCTTACACACTTACTTGGGCCCCTATGCATTTGGCCTGGGTGTAACCTCTTTGCCCGCGACGTGCCTTGAGCAACAGCATGGGCGAGCGGTTGTCACGAGGCGCGTTAGGCGGTCCCCGCGCTTATGAATTTTCCTTTCAACATTCATTCGTTATCAGCATTGCACATTATGTTCTAGCCAAAAGTGATTTTGAAACTTAATAAAAGTACGTGTGAAAGAGATGCGCGCCTCTCGCTTTTTAGTAGCCTATACCACTTCGGAACCTTAGGTCCCCAGGTGCTCCGCCGGCTGGTGTTTAAAGCGAGGCGCGGACAACGAATTTTACTAGGTTTAACATCTCCTCCGGGGATGGGAGGAGATGTCTGAGAAGGGGTGGGGGTTTGGTGCAGGAGGAACCAAAGGGCTGCCGTGTATCCGCGGGAGATAATATGGAGCGCGACGCTGTGGAGAATATTTTAGCACGGATCCATGAAAACCTGGCAAGAACATCCTTTAGGAACAAATCTTCATAACTTTGCCTGGAGATGACTTTGAAAAGTTTGAAAAACAGATTTCTAATGTAAATTGGAAGGCGCATTCACTGGGCCTAAAAGTGAGTGAAAATTGGAAATTGTAGTAGTAGAAAAGTCAAATTCCTTAAACTTTTGTTATATGAATTTTGAAGTTGCACATTGTCGAAGACCGGCATTTTCATCTAAAATTCATTTCTTTGGATAAAGGAGTAGTTTGCTTTTTGAGTCAATGAACCAAAGCAATTATAATGTCATAAAAACCCATCTGGAAGCTTGTGTCAAGATGCAATATGCAGTTTGTTTCATAACTTCAAGCCTATTCTAATTCTACATTTTGACAATAGAGATTTCATGGGACTCGCCATTGAAACTATGTCGGTAATCCTTCCGAGGCTGTACGCAATAGCAAAAGTCCATCACATGCAACTCAGTTAACATTATTTCCTCATTACGACTCCCTACTTTCAACTTCGAATCCAGAAATTTCAATAGAAGAAAATCACTCGAAATCTTACACGCAAGATTGAACTTGAAATTTCTCAGCTTCTGATAGTGAATTTTGAAGGCTCAGTTCTGGTAAAAGTAGAAGTCGCTTAGCGAGACTTGTTTATCTTTCCGGTAGGCGTATTACTGAAAAATGCGCATTCCAGTACTGATTCCAAATCTATCCTTCGTATTCTTGAAAGCCAATTCCAAGAAGAGTTATATGGGTTTGTCTCGAATAGATGTCCTTGCCAGCTTATCCTGGTTTGGTTTTGAACCTGTGCAGAATGGCCAGAATAGTGCCAATAAGCTGAGATTTTCACTGTTTTGTGTGATCTCTCCCCTGGGGACCCCTGGAGGATCACCACTCATTTCTACAGCCATTCATCTTCATGTACTCGATGAAAACCTTGTAAAACTATACTGAGGATATATTCTGGCCTGCTAGTTTCCTACGCGACAAGGAAGTTCGATGATTGTGAGTTTTCCGAACCCCAGTTCGCAAACAGTTCATCGAAGACTCATCTTGAGATTTCAGTCATTTCTGCTATCATAAACATGATGAAACATTATAAATAGCGTTCAAAATAAGAGTTGATCCCCTAAAGAACCCCCAAGAATCACACCAAAGAAAATGAAATTTTCAGGATGTACCCTTCGATTCAATGACATTGGCGGCTGGAAGGCGGGGACTCGAGGTCTAATCAAAAAGAGGATAATCGGAGAGTACGCTCGCGAGAAAGACGCAGACTGCGTCGCGGGTGCGAGCGGTCGCCTTCCAGCCGCCAATCCCGTTGAATGAAAAGTTATGGCAATGTCCTGTCATCGACTATGCTCACTTATGAGGGTATGTGAACACTAGAAATACGAATAAGATTAATATCCAAAGCAGCGAGGTATGACGCGTCTTTCTCAGGTCCCCTCTCTCCCTAGCGGAGTTGTACGGGTTTATAAAATGCAGAGTCGCGTGCACCAGCATCTCCGCTCCCTCGCGGCCGCCTCGCCTGGACTCTGCATTTCTCTCGCGAGGCTCTCTTATCACTTTCCCACCACGAACGTGGGAAAGCCGGAGCTTCAATTGCTGACTGAGCGTCTGAAAATGTTGGAAGCATGTTCGCAAAAGAGGTGCAGAGTTCAGGTGAGGCGGCCACGCGGGGGCAGAGATGCTGGAGCACTTGACTCGCAGTTGATAAGCCCTGTACAGTCGAGTAGATTTCCTGCTTAAATAGTGTCCCTGCAGACGCGACAACGCTGGGGCGTCATTAATTGCCTTGCGAGTTCCCGAGCTAGTGTTTTCCCGTGTTTTCTTTGCTTATTTCATGCTTTACAGTTGATTCGTTGCTGATAAAGAGGAAAAGAGTAACTTAGAGAGTAGTTTCTGTTTTCTGAGAAGTTCTATCATCACACATTCACAGATATCCACGCGGAAGCATTTCGCGTCAGCTTCTTGTCTACTTTTTTGTCATTTCCTTTTCTTCTGTCACTTCTTCTTTCGAACCTTCGTCTTATGAGGCGCTTCTTTGAACGCTAGTTGGCTTGTTTTGCAGCAACTTCGGCTTTCATTCACAGGAAATAGCATTTTAATCAAGTATTTTATGTGATAAAGACAATAAGTCAATCGTAAGAATCCACTAGCGTTCAAAGAAGTACCTCACAAGAAGAAAGAGACATGAAGTGACAAAAAAAATAGATAAGAAGCTGACGCGAACTGCTTCCACTTGGATATCTGTGAATATGCGATGATAGACCTTCTCAGAATACAGAAACTACTCTCTAACTTACCCTTTTCCTCTTTATCAGCAACGAATCACCTAAAAAGCATAGAATAAGCATAGAAAACGCTGGAAAACACTAGCTCGGGAACTCGTCAGGCAATTATTGACGCCCCAGCGTTGTCGCGTCTGCAGGGACACTATATTAAGCAGGAAATCTACTCGACTGTACGTGTGTGCGCCTTAAACAAGGTAGCATGTTCCACCTCTTTTCAAGCAACCTGTTTACCGATTATCCCTTTGCCTTACCAACTCCATCCTCACTATAGCCTTTAAAGGCACCGTCCACCCACATTCTTGACTTTCAGGCTTTTGTCGTTTCAGGGGCTTCTCGTTTCCCTGATTCCAAATATGAAGTCGAGAATCCGCGAAAACCCCGACAATCCCCATTCCGGAGAGCCCAGAGGTCCGCTTTCCAGAACGGTGATTGGATGAGCGTGCACAAATGGGCGGGCATGGATGGGGGTCCTCGTGCTTCTTCGCTATTCCGAAGCGATTTTCTTGCTTCCGAAGCGGCATTTTGCGCCGCGACTTGGACATTGACTTGATAGGAGGCCCTACTGTTATATGCTGCCAAAAGCTCAACACCCTCAACTTAGGGTGGACGGTGCCTTTAAAGGCAGCGTCCAGGCAAATCTGAACCTATGGGACTTTTACGTGGAAAGTAATTTTGGGGCTCTAAGGCACTGCCCAAGCGGCAGCGCAGGTGACTCACTAACGACTGAGATATACACCTCCGACCCCAGATCGTATTTCGCATGGGTTCATGGCACAATCCATCTATTTCGCGCGAAGACCCACGCGAAACTGATGGGTTGCGCCATGAATCCATGTGAAGTACGACCCTGGGGTCCAGTTTTGAGGGCAATATTTCAGCTGTTGGAGCACTGCCTGAATTGCCGGGGCACTGCCTCATTTAGGGCCTCAAAATTACTATCCACGTGAGATCCCCATATGTCCAGATTTGCCTGGACGCTGCCTTTGAGGTCGTGCATGGCACCACGCTTGACCCTGATGATCAGTGGAATTGGGTATCGATATACGACTACACGATGGACTAGTGGGAATTTGTGCGGTTCATTTTTTCCTCATCCATTACAAACAAACTCGTAAGTTTATCGCCGCAGAGGAAGGCTCGAAAACTTAAAACTTGCTAAACATCACACTTCGTGTAAAAAATAAAGTTCCATGCTTTATTGTTCCAACTTTGTCGGAATGTACAGCTTGAATGGTGCACACGGTCCATGTCAAGTGTTATTCCCATTGAACACGTCATCTTACAGGCAACATGGACTCCGCAATTCACTGATGATGAAAGCATATTCGTTAGGCTTGTGGGAAGCGAACTTTTGATCCATGCTGGCTCTCAATTTGGTATATTCTTTCAGTACCTCTGAAACCTTATTCAATCTAGCTTTTTTTAGATAAATATGACCGAAAGCTCGTAGTTCCGAATATCAGCGTTTTCGCCGTGAGCTCGGGACATGCTCCACATCATGTAGCGTGCTATACCCCTGCAGCTGGAGTATGTTCTTTTACAGATATTTTATATTGCGATAGATTTGCGTAGCCTTTTCCGCATACTGTGAGGAGTATCACGATAATATTTGGCGCAGTCTGATTAAACCATCCAAAGCCTGTAAAAGTGTGATATTCTTTCTGATGTAAGAAAGACTGTGTACCCTTTGATTCAACGGGATTGGCGGGTAGACGGCGACCGCTCGCGCCCGCGACGCAGTCTGCGTCTCTTTCGCGAGCGTTCTCTCTGGTCATCTAGCCTTGAATAGGCCTCGAAGCCCCGACTTCAAGTCGCCTATCCCGTTGAATCAAAAGATAGTAGATTTAATGGACCTGTCATCGATAGCTATGGAAGCAGTCAAGCATTGCTAGGCTGTGATCCTTACTGATCTACGAACTTTGTGCACTCAGCGCTGCGCTCGTTAAGTATTGGAGATTCCAATATTTTCGCAAATTCCTGTGTTCCTTTCTGAACTGGCTTATTTTACTATTTTCGGAACGAGAAAAGAGAGAGTTCCTAGGATCGAAAAGGTGAACAATGCCTGCCAGAGGGTGCTGTACGAGCGACTGTTGACGAAGGGATAAGCTAACAAAAGAACGATCTTAACTTTAGGTGGCAAACTGGGATGAACTGTTTACTATCAAATGCGTCTTGGTGAGTTGAATCCAGATTTATTTTATCGGCGATTCCGTTCTCTGGAAAAAGTTATGAGTGGTTGAATGTGAAGTCATCGGGGTCTCAATGTGCAGTATGCTTTGAAATCAACTTGGGATTGCATGACTAGCATGATATTGAGCGTATCGATGTTCGCCTTCAACGAAACACAAAATAGTGTTGTTGATCAACTAATTCTTGAAGTATGGCGTTGTATAACTGCCAAATTTAGACTTTCGTTGCTCAGCTTTTTTCAAAGAACTTGTTCAAAAATACTGAATTGTGTTACCTTTGAGTGTGAGCATTCTCTGAAATCACTATGCCCAATATCATGCTAGTCATGCACTACCAAGTTGGATTTATAAGCACATTATGCATTGGAACTCCAATGACTTCATATTTTCAGTCGCTCATAACTTTTCCAGAGAACGGCAACGCAAATCTGGATAGATCTGAAATCTCATAGAGACGCATCTGATGATGTGCGATTCATTCCAGTTCGCCCTCTCAAGTTGGGATCGTTCCCTTGTAAGATGTCGCTTGCATTGCTCCTGGCCCCAGAACTTCCCGTATTGAATAGATTTTCCGCTCAATATAGTGTGCTTGCATTGTAGGTGAGATGCGGTAAAATTTGCGCGTGAACAAATAGCTACTTGTGACGCCGCCCAGTTGCGAGCGCAAAATACCCGGCACTATTGGCGTGTATAATTGTTTACGCGCGAATTTTACCGCATTTACCTGCAGTACGAGCACACTATATTGAGCGGAAAATCTGCTTGACTTCAGGTAGCCACTGCAAGCTTCACATGTCTTTGCACGGTCTCTATGTCTTGGTACTTCTATATCAGCGATCTATCTAATATATAAAGAAACGTTAGCGCAATTCAAAAATCTGCAAGTAGCGGGAAACTGTTCCCGAAGCGCACGGATGCAATCTGGCATCTTCAGTTACTGGTTCACCAGTCAGAGGTAGTAACTGCTGTAGTGGGTACCTAAGAGAAGTTCCCCATGAATCAAACATACTCAGCACAGCTTGCGCCTACATACGCCTTGTGGAAGTTAGGTGAGACTTTGGCTCATTTAGGGTATAAGATTTGTTTAGTCAACACCTGGACGCGTGCAGGTACGGAGTCTTGATTCTCCTTTTGCTGTTGTTGCAGCAAAGAATTTCTTCAAGTCGGAGAAAGCTACCCTCCTCTGGAACTGTAAAGGTGTGCGTTTTTGGAATGAGTTATGCTGTTGAACATGAACGGTTGAGAAATTCCATCTCTGTTAAATTCGTTTCCTTTTATTCAAGTTTCTATTCAGGAAGCGCCGTACTGGTACTATCTAGCACTGAGGTAGATGCTTCTAACCAATCATATTATGGTGAACAACATGTAGGTATTCTGGCCATGTTTGTGTGATCATGACAATGCCTTTGTCTTATAATACTTTTAAGATATATCTTCTGAACTTGACTACACAAGAATCATTTCAAGTAAATGTACGTAAGAAGGGTCCCGTACATACAGCAAAGTGGAGCCCTACTGGGAAGGAGTTTTGTGTTTGCTACGGATACATGCCCGCTATGGTAGAAAAACGTCATCTCGTAAATCTTCGAATTTGTTGAATTATAGCTGAGTCTGTACAATTTGAGAGGAGATGAAACGTTCCATGTCGACGAGGGACCGCGCAATGATGCTTTTTATAACAATTTCGGAAATATCTTGTTGACTTGCGGATTTGGCAATCTCGGGAAGGGGAAGATGGAGTTCTGGGATGTGGAGAAGAAGAAACAAATTGTTGCTGTAAGTTTTTTTTTCTAAAGTTCAAGCTGTGTGAAATCTAGTTGCCCGCCCCTTATGCAGTACTTCTACGCGTGCGAGTGTGAAAGGCTGGTCCCCACGGGCTCCGGGCGCCATCTGAATCTATAGTGAGTTTCAACCAGGGTTGAGCTTAGGGTCAGGCGCTCCCGACCTGGGGGGTCGTATTGGGGGTAAGAGGGGAGGGGGTCGCAATACTTGTTCACAAAATGGAGGGGATGCTACGATTGAGTGAAGTGAAGAAAAAGAGCGCGAGACCAGTGATTATCATTCCACCGGAGAGGGAATGACTGTTGTCTCCACTAACGCAGTTTCTGCCAACGGTAACTGCCAACGATCCTCAAAGAGGCTTGCCGTGTGGGGTGGGTAAGATTTCCGTAATCAGCACGCCAAATTCCTATACGAGCTCTACAAACCACCACCTATCACGTTTTCTAGTGTTTCCTAACGTTTAGGCAGCGTGATTTTCAAGCATGATTAACTTCACAAAAGTAAAAGAAGTCTGCTTTCTTGTGCTCAAAACGAAGTAATACTTGTCAGTCTAAGGTAGAAATTGGATCTCTTATCGCTTCCAAAAAGTGGATCAAGAAGTGCTGCCAAAATTCCAATCACCGCGTTTTCTATCTTGAGTGCTTCTACTCCACCGATCACGACAAAGCCGGAACAAGACCAAGTAAGCTCAAATACCTAATGGAGACTCTTCGAGGTTTGTGCTAGCGAACCACATAAAACTAGGATGAAAAAGATTCTTTTGTGATAAAGTTAACTGGGTCAGGCGCAACCCCTCAAAAGCTCAGGCCACCTGAGCTTTTGAGGGGTTGTAGCCTTGCGCCTGACCCCCTTAACTTGCCTTCAATTTTCAGAAATCGCTCCATTCCTGTTATGAATATTGAGCTCATAGCTTCTTTTTGCTACAGTGAATTCGGAGCCAAACACCCCAGCCTTAAAGAGATTATGATCCCTGCAATAAACCCATTCAGATCAAAATCAACCGTCAAGTTACGTGTGACTGTAAAGTGCAGTCACAGAAAATCGGGCGTACAGACTTCAAGAATCCAGAAACTCTTTAGGAAAGGATTGTTTCCTCCAGAATATCGCTCATAGAAGTTCCGAAAAAGGGGGGAGAAGGGGGTCGTTTGGGGCTTTCTGAGGGGAGGGGGGTGTCGCTTTCAAAAGACTTGTGCCTGACTTCTTGCTCAACCCTGGCTTCAACTCAGTTTAGGCGGAAACTGAGGTGGCGGAAGTTCGCTTTGCAGCAATTCGCGCCGCTTTGCAGTCTGCGTCTCTTCGTTCTCATCTACCTCGCTGAGCCAGTGGCGGCGGACGCGCTGCTCCACTTGGAATGTTTCGTTTACCCGGCGTTGAAAAAGGCTGTACAGTCGAGTAGATTTGGCGGTAAATATAGTGTGCTTGCACAGGAGGTGAAATGCGGTAAAATTCGCGCGTGAAGAGATAGCTTCGACTGTGAAGCCGGCCAATTGTGCGCGCAAGGTACCCGCAGTACTGGCGTGGCTACTTGTTCACGCGCAATTTCACCGCATTTCACCTCCTGTGCAAGCACACTATATTTACCGCTGAATCCACTCGACTGTACCTAACCGGCTGCGCGGGCGGTCGCGCGCACTGTCACTGCGTGTCGGGATCAAGGCTTCGCTTGCTGTCCGTATTCACGAGGTGGGGGAACGACTCAGACACCCGCACAGGCTGGCGGCCGTTCGACGACGGCTGGCTGTCGCCGACATTTCGGCCGGAACGGTCGCCAGCCGATATGCGTTAGGGGCGCAACGAAATGGCACTGAGTCACAGCATTTTTTCTCTACAATTCTAGCTTTCGTTCAGCACTGTAATTAGTAATTAAACATCTCAATACAGGGTGCTACAAATTTACATCAACATATTTATTATAACCACAACACAGTGCGAAGAAAGACAAAGAATGAAGAAAGACTGACAAAGAATGTTGCATAAGATTCATGAACGCAGTTGACTACAAAGCTAGTAACTTTCTATCAAGACCGTTTGACGCAGCAAGTTCACATATCGTTATACAACCCTTACGATTGCGTCGGCAGGTCCAGAATGTTTTTACGAACTTTTGCATGCCACACATGAGCAATAATGTTGTATTCGATAACCTGTAAATGAAACAAATTATTGACAGTTTCCAACCGACACAGAACTTACGTACTGACACAGAGTTGAGATAATGTTTGTTAGCGGAGCAGTGCCGAAAACATAAGCATTACAGTAGACGTTTAAAATGGATGATTGTACCACTCTCTAAAAAACACAACAAAGCTAGTTTCAATGATATTCAAGAACTTACATCTTTGGAGTGCGTCCAGCAGCCGTGACCATCAGATCAGCAGAAATGGGTAGAGTATCAGATAGCTTCTGAGCCCAATGTGTTTTCAACAAAGTAACAACCGCAAGATCAACGATATCGAGATGAATTATACGAAGTATCCCAAAAAGATGTGCACGCTGTTTGATCGCTAATAATTCTCTTGCTTTCATGTCTTTTGCCGAGCTTGAGGTACCATTCTGTAGAGCGAGGATAAACTTAGATTTACAGTATGGAGCGAATCACCAATTACTCTTCGTTACTGTGGGACCACGGTATGTACCTTCAGCAAACAGCGTCACTGTGGAATAAGCCTTTTGATGAAATAATTTCGAAAAAATCTGAAAATTTGTATAGCAAGGTTTTCAAGCGTGCTAATTTCACTATATAACTTTCCACCAGTTCTCGAGCTTTCTTGATGGCGTATTCACATTTCTGACAAACATTGGAAAATCAGTTGTTACTCTAAATCTGAAACTCATGAAAGAAACAGTGTACTGACGTGCAATTTTCAAATTTAGAATTAGCAACTTCGACTAACCCAGTTCAAGAGTTTCTGGCTTGCTTGGCTTTCTTTCCGAGGCAAAATACCGCTTTCAATGGCTTAAAATCCGCCTCGAAATTCCTACCGTAATTCTACAGTAATGAAGAGCTGCTGATAAGTCGCTCCATACTGTAAATTCAAGTTGATCTTCGCTCTAAAGAATGGTACCTCAAGCTCGGCAAAAGACATGAAAGCAAGAGAGTTATTAACAATCAAACAGTGTGCACATCTTTTTGGGACACCCTGTACACTGACGGGAAAAATCTAACTTAGGTCGGCTTTTTAAAAAACGATACCTGTATTTGGAATCAGCTTGAAAGCTGAATTCAAATATCTTTTGTTAGCTGCGAAGCGCTGAACAGAGTTATGGGCTTTTTCCTGTGCAAAATTTGGATGCTAATCGACTTACAGAAATTACGGTATCGACATTCAAAGGTAGTGCACATGCATAACGCTCCCTATCAGCACCAAAAGACTTGACTCGATGTTATTTCAATATTCCAGCACCTTTTCTAAGCAGATTTCTACTTATAGGCTGACTTCGCTGACTGCTCATGTTCAATAGTGCGTCAACGGCGCGTAGTAAAAAGCTCGTTATTCTTTTGAGAATAATGCTTCACAGTCAGAAACAACAAATTTGGACTCAGCTTTCCAAGCTGATTCCGATTATATGTGCCGTTCATCAAAAGGCCGAACTACCTTGAGTGCCTTCTCTGTCAGTAAATGAGGAATAGTCCAGAAGCTCAAGTAGTAAAATACAAAGGAGCATCCATCAAGAGCCATACCGATGTTACGAATAACAGTGTCAAAATTGAAGCAGTCAAGCAATCACTGTAGTTCGATTAAAAAGCAAGAACAAAAACCCTACGCGTATCTCAGCTGTCTCCTGTAAAACTTGTGGACATTTAGTGTGCTTCTTTAGTTTGCTCGGCGTTCGCCCGAAACTGCGTAAAAAGAGTCCGAGCGCCTCCTGAAGGTTTGACCAGCGCTCCTAAAAGAAATTGTTTGACGAGCACAATATTTTGTATTGCTGCCTGCTGGGAACACGGAAGTATCGCTCGCTGAAGGTTTTGCCACGCTCCAAAGCCTTAAAAATATGTAAATACAAAAAAATAAAAAACAAACTGGCACCATTAGAGTGAAAAAGACGAAAAATTTTTGCTGACCGCTTGCAGAAGAGCGCGAGTTTGCGGACCGCCTGCCCCCGGCGATTATTTGAGTTGTTTGTAAATTAGCTGCGGCGCAGTGGCCGCATTCTCGCGGACGTCGCCAGTGTCGGCCCTGTGAGGGCTAAAGTGCGACGAAATGGAAATTGAGGATAGTTGAGTTGTCACAATCCTCTTTCATACCAGCTTTCATCATGCAAAAATACTTTTTCATGGCAAAACTCTGCAACAAGCTTGTGGAGGCCGTGCGCGCAGGGTGCGTACCGATCTTCACTCCTCTTTCCTTGTTCACTTTCTCTGCTTGTTTTCTATGCCACTTTTTCAGTCATGAACTATCTTCATGGACGCAACAGCGTTGCTCTCCGAGCACGGCGCGGACGGCCTATACAGAACTATCAGGGAAGATCTCCACTGATAATAAGGCCATTTGCCTGAACTAATAGTAGACTCGATGAAAACAATCAGTGGAGTGCTTATCCCATTCGGGACATTTAAGGCGCCGTCCACCCAGATTCTCGACTTCCGTGTTTTAGTCGTTCCAGGAATTTCTCATGTTCCTGATTCCGAATATGAAGTCGAGAATCCGCGAAAACCTCGGCAATCCCCATCCCGGAGAAGTCGGTTCTCCGCAACGGTGAGTGGATGGGCGCGCACGGATGGGCGGGCATTACTGGAAGGGGGCGATGCCCGTTTGGGGTCATCATACCTTTTCGCTCTTCCAAACGATTCTCTCGCTTCCGAAGCAGCGTTTTGCACCGCGACTTGGGCAATGGTTAGATAGGGGGTTCTACAATCGTAAGCTGCCAAAAGCTCAAGACCCCAACTTGGGGTGCCCAAGCGCGGTGCAAAATGTCGCTTCGGAAGCAAGAAAATCGCTTCGGAAAAGCGAACCATGATGACCCTAAGTCGGCACCCCCCTCCAGTAATGCCCGCCCATCCGTGCGCGCCCATCCAATCGTTGCGAAGAACCAGCCTCCGGGTTCTCCGGAATGGGGTTTCCAGGGTTTCGCAGATTCTTGACTTCATATTCAGAATCAGGGACATGGAAAATCCCTAGAACGACTAAAACATGGAAGTCGAGAATCTGGGTAGGTTGCCTTTGATCTTTGAAAGAGAATGATAACACCCTTTAACACGTTGACGACCTTGTGTATCCGCACGTATGCACGCCCTGACTCCCGTTTAGCATTTTCGTGCATCCGCGCATATGCACGCTAGTTTTTTAGGTGCAAACGAAAAGTTTTAAGGTAACTTCTATGCAGTAATACTATTAGTGGCCTGATTGTCTTACAGAACTTAGGGCATCGCGGCAGCTGTTTAGAAGTTTTGGCTGCAAAATTGGGTAATCAGTACGTTTTTGATGTAGTCAATACATGCTAATTACGTTTTCTCGAGAAGGTGAAAACTCTGTATAGCTGTTCTGAGATTAAACAAAGGTGAATCAGGCAAAAAACATCTGGTTTTACAACGCTTTTCTCGAAGAGCGATTCCTCAGATATAGCCATTGCATGGATTTTTGGAGGGAAAATCGATGCAAAAACCTTGATTTGTGTGAGTCCTGGTAAGGCTCTGTAATATACCTGTATGTCTGAACAAAGTTTGCATGTTTTATTAATTAGTGTCAAAAAGACTCCCACATAATGTTTTCGTGCATCCGCGCGTATGCACGGGCCAAATGCGCGAAGGACGTTAGTGGGAGTTTCGACCAAAATGGCGCGGTCGTCAACGTGTTAAATAGTACTCACAGCTGCCTTGTGCAATCTTCTCACCCACCTCAACCTAAAAAAAACTACTCGTACCAAAAAGGAAAGATGTCATTCACACCAAACATCGTGCTGAAGCGAAAACCAGCATACATTTTGAAACTCTGTGAACATCTATCACAGCAAGCGAGGTCTAGGTTCCGGCACGCATAGATGGCGCGCGCACCGCCCGCGCGATTAAGGTTGGGTACATAGAGATCCGTTCCGAAATTTACGGACCAGTATGAACCCCGCCTAAGTAGATTTAGATGGGGCCTGGGCTCCGATTATGTTGCTAAGCGGGTGCGAACGCGGCGTTTGAGTTTCTTTTATCATTACAGGTCAAAAGCACCGTCTACCCAGATTCTAGATTTCCAGGTTTTTGTCGTTTCATGGCCTTCTCATGTCCCTGACTCCGAACATGAAGTCGGGAATCAACGAAAACCCCGACAATCCTCGTTTCGGAGAACCCGCCGGTCGACTTTCCGAAACGGTGATTTTATGGGCGCGCACGGATGGGCGGGCATGGATGGGGAGGGCGGTGCCGTCTGGAGGTCCTCGTGCATCTTTGTTGCGGAGCGACTTTCTCGCTTCCGAAGCGACATCTTGCGGCGCAACTTGGGCATTGCTTGGAAGGAGCCCTACTGCAGTGCTGGCCAAAAGTTTGCAGCCGCTCCGAAAAATAGCTACAATTCACTTCGCATTCTAAATAATGAACCCGAATGATAGTATTATGTGCAAATTACTCTACTTTCCAATGCATCAAAATATTTTGCGATTTGATGAAAGCAGAAGATGATTTTAAAAAGTCGGTAGAAATTAGGTTGGTCAAAACCTGCAGCCACTTCTTATCAATCGTCATTGTGAAAGTCTCTAAACTTTCAATACTTTTGCTACGGATGTGACCATAATTGCTGGAATGTGCCCGACAACCAGCTTCGCCATACTACAGAAAAGGAGACTGTATGGACCAAATTTATTTGTCCGCAAGTTGATTGTAAGAATCGAAAAAATCGTTAGATTTTAGTTGAATAATTAGATTGTAAATGCTCTAATGGAAAGTTTTACCAATTATATGTTCGGAGTCAATCAAATTGTGTGACAGAAATAGCAATACTTGGCTTAAATTCAACTTGAATGTCACTTATGCTCGGGTTTGGCGCATTTTCCAACTCGGAAGTTCGGCGCGACGCTCCGCAAGAAACTCAAACCCACTGACAAGGTTGTTGTTACAAAGGCGAACGCTTGGTCGAAGCTTTCAGAGTTTCACAGAAAAGATGGGACTGTTTTTGCCACAGAAGAGCTTCCGCAAATTCTTGCATAAGAAAACTGCGATATACTAATAGAAATTGTTAGGTGTGCAAATCGCGCAAGATTTTTTATGGCGAAAACAGCTCCATCTTTCTTGTGGAACTCTTAAAGCTTTGACCAAGCGTTCGCCTTTATAATAACAACCTTGTCAGTGGGTTTGAGTTCCTTGCGGACCGCCGCGCCAAACTTCCGTGTTGCAGAATGCGCCAAATCCGAGCAGAAGTGACATTCAAGTTGAAATTAAGCCAAGTAGTGCTATTTCTGCCACACAGTTTGATTGACACCGAACATATCTTATATATAAAGCTGAATGTCTGTTTGTCTGTTTGTCTGTATGTCTGTCTGTCTGTCTGTATGTGTGTACGTATGTTCCGAATAGAAAATTCCATTTTTGAACCGATCCGGACCAAACTTGGCACACATACACTTCGGGCCCGGCGGGTGTCATAGGCTACTTTTCATCATCGATCGATATCGATTTTATCGATTTTTTGCAAAATTTGAGCTACGGGGCTGGGAGTTGGCACAGGGGGGTAATCGAGCATGCTGATTACGAATATAATAATGACAGGGCCGGGCGGGGCCGGGTAAGTCAACTAGTAATTGATAAAACTTCCCATTAGAGCAATTACAATTCAATTATTCAACTAAAATCTAACGATTTTTTTCGATTCTTACGGTCAACGTGCGGACAAATTAATTTGGTCCATACAGTCTCCTTTTCTGTAGTATGGCGAACCTGGTTGTCGGGCACATTCCAGCAATTATGGACACATCCGTAGCACAAGTATTGAAAGTTTAGAGACTTTCACAATGACGATTGATAACAAGTGGCTGCAGGTTTTGACTAACCTAATTTCTACCGATTTTTCAAAATCATCTTCTGCTTTCATCAAATCGCAAAATATTCTGATGCATTGAAAAGTAGAGTAATTTGCACATAATACTATCATTTGGGTTCATTATGTAGAATGCGAAGTGAATTATAATTTTTCGGAGTGGCTGCAAACTTTTGGCCAGCACTGTATTATATATGCTGTTAAAAGCCTAAGACCTTCATGCATGCCTCGCTTTCATGAATAATCGCCTGCAGTCTTTACGTTGCTTTCCGACCGCTAGCAGCTAGTGCCGGGGACAATGAGCACGTCTCATGCAGAATACTCACCAAAAACACTTTTCGTATGGTTGGAAACAATCAGATGAGTCATAAAAAGTTAGATCCTTGCTCGCACAGGGTCCCTTGCGACCTCGCTCGCGCGTTTGGTGTGCAATTTAAGGTGCGGCAGTTTCTTTAATGTTAATCTTTTCATTTCATTGGTCTTAAGGCTCCCGCCAGAGTGCCGAAGTTATGCCAGCGCTACGCCAGCATTTCGATCGATACACGTGTATTTCGTTGGGGCGGGGCTAGCTGACGTCCCCAACGAAATACACGTGTATCGATCGAAATGCTGGCGTAGCGCTGGCATAACTTCGGCACGCTGGCGGGAGCCTAAGTGAAGTTGAGTATTCAGATTGAAGTTCCAAATACGACAATATTTGAGTGGGCTCCCGATGGTCAACACTTTGTTACAGCTACCACAACGCCTCGCCTTCGCATTGATAACGGATATAGGTAGGTTACAGAGACGTTTTTATGAATCTCATTTTCAGTTGTATAATCCGCAGCTTGATCGCCCTAAAAGGCAGCGCGGCAGAGTCGAGTCTTTCAAATGGCTGCATTTGTGTTCCAGACCTATTTGTTACCCTGCTGACCGATCCGCGTCAGGGTCATTGGCATGGCTGTTGGGGAAAAATGCATCTGAATTGACGCGCAAGCTTCAGTTTGGCACGACTACGACTTGACTTGCTTACTTTTACGGGTCAGGGGTTACATCGCGCACGGCTGGTTTTGCCGCGCACGCCGCACTCAAATTTTATGCGCTACAAACTCTCCGTGCTGATAGCACATGGGCGGTGGGTGCATGTCAAGAGGCGCGATTTTTATTGCCAGATGACACCAGATATAGTCGCCCTCACCCCACTAGTCGGTCGGTGGACGAATTCAAATTTGAATTGGAGCAGGCCTGTCACGGCAGAGCGCGGCAGGAGACAAAGCTCAGCAATTACAAAGACTCACTATAGATCAAAAATGTTGTAACAATACAAAAACTGCCAAGCAATGGCGAAGAAATACGCAAAGTGAATGCGTGAATTTGAACGGAGAGCTAAGGTGCCGTGCTCTGCCGCGACCTGCCTGCTCCAGTTCTAGCACATTAGTGTTTTATCCAGGGTCAAGCAAGCGATCGCTGGTTACAATTCCCCCCCACCCCTCTGAACTATACACTTAAGATAGCATTACTTGAAGGCCCTGTCAAACATAATGGGCAACATATCCATAATTAGCATGTCAAATAACCCCTGTAGACAAAGTATGAGCGAATTCTGAAGATTCAAGATACTAGGCTACCTAAGTGAAATGGTCAAATTCCAACATGGTTAAAGGCAGCGGCTCGGCAGATTGACCTACCTCAGATTTTGACACAGATAGATAGGAGGCCCTCCAAGTGAACCAAAACAGCAACTTCGCGCCGAAAATGTGAACTCTGCAAGCCAGGGGGCGGCCCAAGCGCCGCTCCCCTTCCTCCTTTCGCTCCCCTAACACCTTGTTCGGACGAGTATTCTCCGCTAGACGGCGCGGGACCCCCCGCTTTCCCGCATTGTGCATGCTATACAGAGGCAGCAGGGTCTTCGTGAAAGGGCCTCCCGACTTTCCTGAAAATTCTCGTCCGAGCTGCCTTTTGGAAATTGAAAAAAAACGCCCGAAAAAGGCCTTTTCACCGCTTTTAAAGCTCAGATTCGGGATCTACGGGTCGAGAAGGCCCAAAACATGCAAAAAGATGGAAATGCAAGATCTGCCGAGCTGCTGCCTTTAACTTTGTTTCAAAGGTGAATTAGCTATCCGTTTTTGCACTTACGACAAAGCACTACTCCTTCTTTGTCCAACTCAGGAATCCCGCTTCAGGCCTTCAAACTGTGGAATTAGAAGCCAACCAAAATCTCGTTTTTCCTATTTTTCGCTTTTGATCGCTGTGCTTTCACCAAATATTACTCAGAGCTAAGAAGACGATTCAGGCTCCAAACAGTCCTATGGAATCTACAAGGTTTAGGCTATCGATTCATATAAATACTGTCCGCGTTTTTTTGATATAGTTAATGGGGTGCGGCACTCAGACAGGTAGTAAGCTCGTGCACTTTTTCTGGTACTTTTCGAAGAATCGCGTAGCACTAAACTGGAGTTTTAAGTTAGTGACAGCCGAAGAAACCGCGCCTCTTGACCGTTTCCCATGGGCGGTGAGGGTGGCGGCAAGTATACGGTTCAATGCCCCAACAAGTAGCATTACGACGGGATACTGATGAGAGTTAACTCTGGCACTACTGCGCGCGGCAGCGAAATCTTTGCTCTCATCGTGACTACTGACCCGTGCCCTTACCTTGCACTCGCGAGCTGGAAGTGTCAAGTGGCTGGAACCGTGAGTTTTTTGCCCTTCTTTTGCAGTTTTCCTTGCAAATTTCGCTCGTTTTCCTTTTATTCTGCATTTCTTGTACCTGCAGGGAATTATGTCCGGCCGAAATGGCCTTTTTGTCTCCTCGCTCAAATGCTCCGCAAATAAGGAACGAAGATCTGGAGTGCTCTAGAAGATGGTATGCACCCATTTTGAAGGCAGTGTCCCGGCAGATTTTGCATTTCCCTCTTTTTGCATGTTTTGGGCCTTTTCTACCTGTAGACCCCGAATATGAGCGTTAAAATGAATGAAAAGACCTTTTTCGTGGAGTTTACCCAATTTCCAAAAGTCAGCTTAGACGAGAATTTCAATGGAAAATTGGGGGCCCTGGCACGAATACCCTGGTGCCTGTAATTTTTGCTTCGGATAGCATGCAAGATGCGAGAGAGCGGTCGTGGGATCCCGCGCCGAACGGCAAACGAAGACGTCTGAGCGCGCGCCGATTGGGGTTGCGTTGCGCGCGCCAGTTCAAGGGCTACTTTTTCGGCCCATGGGGAACATCAACCAGCCGGACTGCGCCCTGGAGATCAATGGGATGACCAGGAACCCCACCACAGCAATATCCCCCAGGGCGCGAATCTGCCGGGACACTGCCTTTAAGGTCCGTAGACACGTGCATCCCCGCTGGAGAGGGAAGGGGATCTGAAAGAGTATGCGCCATATCTCGCTACTAGCTGGCTTACCCGGCTCCGCCGTATCCGGACCAAACTTGGCACACATACACTTCGGGCCCCGGCGGGTGTCACAGTCCACTTTTCGTTATCGATCGATGTCGATTTTACCGATTTTTATCGATTTTTTGCAGAGTTCACCTACAGGGTTAGGAGTCGGCACAGGGGGGGGGGGGGAAGTGAGCATGGGGATTCCGAATACAATATTAGTTTTCAGAATTATCGATTACTTTTATTGATTTTATCGATTTTTTGTAAATTTTGACATGCGAGGCTGGGATTTTGCACAGGGAGGTAATCGAGCATGCTGATTACGAACACATTATTAGTTCTCAGGATCGTCCATTACTTTTATCGATTTTATCGATTTTTTTGTAAAGTTTGACCTGCGGGGCTGGGAGTTTGCACAGGGGGGTAATCAGCATGCAGATTACGAATACAATATTAGTTTTCAAGATCGTCCATTACTTTTATCGATTTTATCGATTTTTTGAAAATTTGAGCTAGGGGGCTGAATTTGGCACAGGGGTGTAATCGAGCATGCTGATCACCCCCCTTGGGGATGATCAGCATGCTCGATTACCCCCCTGTGCGAACTCCCAGCCCCCTAGCTCAAACTTTGCAAAAAATCGATAAAATCGATAAAAGTAATCAATAATCCCGAAAACCAATATTGTATTCGGAATCCCCATGCTCGATTACCCCCCTGTGCCAACTCCCAGCCCCGTAGGTGAACTCAGCAAAAAAAATCGATAAAAATCGATAAAATCGATATCGATCGATGACGAAAAGTAGCCTATGACACCCGCCGGGGCCCGTAGTGTATGTGTGCCAAGTTTGGTCCGGATCGGTTCAGAAATGGAATTTTCTATTCGGAACATACGTACACACATACATACATACAGACAAACAGACATTCAGCTTTATATATAAGATTCTACGTATCTTTCTTCTTCCTTTTCTCTCTTGCTTATGTAGCTTCTCTACTCTTATACCTGTGCATAATGGATGCCAGGTTGATGGCGTGATTGATTAGATTTTCATTTTGTGTGATCCCCAGGGGATCACCTCTCAATTTCAATGCCATTTATCTTCATGAAAACTCAATGAAACGCTGTAAAATTGTACTGTGGCGGTACTAAGGCGCTGCTAAAGATGATTATAGTAGAAATCACTGAAATCTCAGGATATCGAAATCTTCAGTAATCTCTAGCTCGCGAGCCAGGGATCATCGAAAAATCCACAATCTTCAGATACCATTTCTACTGTCGAAAATATGCTTACTAGTGCCGTAGTATATCCTCAGTACAATTTTGCAGCGTTTTCATTGACTTCCCAGGAAGATAAATCACTTTGAAAATGAGAGGTGATCCCCTGGGGATCACCTCTCATTTTCAAAGTGGCACAAAACCAGTCTTGTATGGAAGTAACCTGGCATCCATTATGCGCAGGTATAAGTGTATGAAAAACATCATAAGCAGGATAAAGAAAGAAGAAGAAAGATACATAGAAGAGCAGTGAGCAGAATAGAACTAGTGCTTTGTAATGAGTGCCAAATGTGGTCGCTAATTCACCTTTGAAGCAAAGTTAATTGTGCTCGAGAATGATTTTCTTACTCTAGGTGGCCCAATATTCGGAAATCTCAGAAGTCGCTGAAGCTTAGTCCACAGGGGTTATTTGACATGCTAATTATAAGTATATTACTCGTTATGCTTGGTAGGGCCTTCAAGTTAATTATGCGTATCTTAGGTATGCAGTAGTTCAGGGGCGTCTTAGACCCGTATGCACGTACATCCCCGTTGGGAAGGGGAGGGGATCTGAGAGGGGATGCGTCATATCTCGCTACTCTAGCTATCTTTCTTATTCCTTCTCTATCTTGCCTTTGAAGGTGCTCATACCCTAATACCTGCATGATTGATGCCGGGTACTGCCATACAATATTAGATTTTCACTATTTTGTGTGATCATCTGGGAATCCCCTGGGGATTCCCACGAGATCACCTCTCTCAATTTCAATGCCATTTATTTTCCGAAACGCAATGAAAACGCTGTAAAATTGACTTTCGATAAACTACGGCACTGCTAAAGATGTTTATAGTAGAAATAAGAGAAATCCCGGGATATCGAAATCTTCGGTAATCCTTATCCCACGAGCTAGAGACAGGGCCTGGCACCAGCTGGCACGGGGCAAGCTGGATATCGTTTTTGGGGCAAAAAGCAAAGGGGGTTTCGTTTTTGTGGGCGAAGACATACGGAAAATTGGCGGCGGCGACCTTTTTTTTTTTTTTTTTTTTTTTTTAGTCGACGTTTCGTTTTTTGGGGGATTTTGGGGATTTTTTTAGGATTTTAGGGGGGATATCGTTGAGGATCAAAGGGGACTTCGTAAAATTTCCCAAAAG